TGTGACTGGGGCAGGGGGCCCGAGACCAGCGGGTAGACCATGTCAAGGCGGCGGCGAACACGTCGCTTGCGCTGGGTCTGCCGGTTGATCTGGCCCATGGTGGCAAAGTCGATGATGTAGCAGAAGCCAATGGCACTCAGGTCCACCCAGGGGTGCTGCTTCTCGTAGGCACGCTGGATGGTGATGCCCACGTCCATGTCGTAGGGCGTCCACGACCCGCTGTCGTTCTCCCACTCCCACACGACTCCCTTGCCTGGCGCCGACGATGGGTCATAGTAGCTGCGTCGGACAGGGCGGATAGTGCCTGAGGGAGGGTGAGAGATGCCGTCAGACCCTGGCGCCAGCACCCACCTGCGAGCAAGGACAAAACCACCCCAACCTGCCCCACCGGTGCTGCTCGGCATGGGGACAGGACAGCTTTCCGGCTCAGCTGTTGTCCCCGCCCTGCCAGAGGACTGGTGTGCCTTGGTTTCCCCAAGCCGCTGCTTGCAAGCCACCCTGCCACCGGCACACCCAAAGGGCCAGGCAGCCCCCGGGCTGCACGCACATAGCACTGGGGCGCACCCCCAGTGTGACCAGGTGAGGGGAGGGCAGGTTTCACCCCCATCGGTCTACTATGGTGGCCGCCCTCCTGGCCCCAGTGTACAGCCGCTCAGTCCTGATGGGGAAACACAGAACCACAAGCTTGGCCGGTCCAGCCTACCCCCAGGGACCTCCCGTGGGAGCCTGATGAGACCAGGCACGTAGGCACCGGACTCGTGCAGTGCGCACCTCGGCCCCATCTGCCCCTCAGCTCCGGACCAGGGTGGGGGAATAAGAGATTTAAAGGGCAGCTCTGAGCCCTGCAACGACAACGTCCGCAGGCACCCACATGCACAGGGGAGCGGGGCTTGCGCCAGCCCCACCGTCTGCAGCTGCCAAACCTGCCTGCAAGGAAAACCCAGCCCGTGGCACAGGGAAAATCCCCGCAAGGCCAAGCAAAGGAGTTCAAGTGGGGCCCCATGCGTAGCTCCTGCTCCCCCATCAGTGACTGTTAAAAGTGGGATGAGAGCACAAAGCATGAAGGCTTTGTGGCTTGCATCCTTATTTTTGCTAGGCGTTTCCTTTCCCACCGCTCCCAGTCGACTAGGACGCATTCAAAGCAGAGACACAAATTTTGGAAACTCCTGCAATGAGGAGAAAGCCTTCTACTTTGGGATGTTTCATGGCACAGCGGGGCAGGGTGAATGTGACCAGGCTCAGCCTCGGGGTCCCATCCTCAGCACGCTACTAGCGCCCACGGTTGTTTGTTAATAGGTGCAATGAGCTCACGAGCACCACTGCCTCCATGCTCTTCTGCAAAACCCCGTGGTTTGGCCCCACTGCCAGCGGGAGCAACAAGAATGCTCAAAGAGAAGAAATAATAAGCCTGCTTCTTCGGCTTTTCACCACGTGTCTTGCAAAGCCTGCAAGTATTTCAGTCCCTTTTCACTCCCCCTTCGCCGCTGGGAGCAGCCGCACCTTCAGTCCCCACACAGGACCACTTCCCACGAAAAAGTGGGCTAAAAAGGAAAAGCTGTTTATAAGCACTAACGACAGGCACACATTGAGCACCCTGCTATCGAGAATGGGGTGCAACTGCACCCCAGGCAAGCCAGGCCACCCGTCCCCATCCTGCGAAGGGGCACCTGGGGGAGGAAAGCCGCTAGCGCTGGCAGCACAAAGCAGGACCAGAGGGGAGCAGGGCAGAGATTTATCCTAATCCAGCGCGAGGCAGGGAGGGCAGCAGCAGCGGCATGCAGCAGTCCCCGAGCGGAGGTGTGGGAACGCTGTGCATCCCCCCAGCCCAGCGCAGCCAGCCGGCCTCCCATTCAGCAGGGGAAGAAAAGGGACAATAGCTATTCAGGGCCTGCCAGGGTCGCGACCCCCCCAAATCAGAGCTGTTTAATGACCCAAAATACCAACATCCCCAGCAACCCAGGGAGAGACAGAACAATCCCCCTTTCAGGCCTCCTCCCCAGGCGACAATAGCCCTCAGAGGCTGGCCCCCCCCCCTGCCGCAGAAGTCCCTTGTCCCCACACCCTTGGGCAGGGGAGGGTCCTCACCAGCCCCCAGGGCTGCTGGAAGAAGGAGGACAAAGGAGGGTGTCCGTCACCCCACTGCACCCAGCACCCCCTGTCCCAGGGACGTTGGCTGGTCCCCTTCCCATGGCCATCATGGGGGTGTTGGGGGGGCGCACAAATTCCCTGTGCCAACCTCTCCCCCATGGGTGCCTGTGCCCCGCATTGCAAACACCCCCAGGGCCATATGTCTCCCACCACGTTGGGAATCCCTCCACATCCCCACCTCCTTGGGGACCTCCCATGCCTGCTTGTTGCCCCCCTTCCCTCCCC